GTGTCAACAGACTGTCTAGAAAGTGAGAAGAAATATTTGGCGTTAATGCTGTAATCAGATGTAAGTGTGTAGCTCTAAATATTTTTATTGGAAAAGAGAAAGAATGAAGAAAAAGTAAATGAGGGAACAATTAAACCAAGCTTACAGTTAAAATAAGCTTGAAGAACACAGGAAAGAAATTACAAGTATAAATTAGGATATAGAGAAAAATAATTTAAAATAAATTTAAATTGAAATATTAAATTGAAATAAATTTAATTTGAAAAATATAGGCAAATATCTAAACAAATTATATTATAGAAAATGAAATAAATACTGAATGCATAATATCATATCTGAAAAAATCTGTAGGTAGAAAGGAGATAAATCAGAATTGTGTCAAGATTTGGCTACCAGAGGGAAAATGGTTGCCCAGAGTTTTTATAGAGGTGTGTTAATTTTTTTTAATCTTTCAGAAAGGCTTTAAAGTTGAATCAAAACAAGACATAGCTCTGACCTTGAGAAGCTGTTATATATTTCAGAGCTCTTTCAATGGAGTGGAGGTCAGAAAGCCTGCTGCAAGCGATTAACAGGGTAGTGAGAAACTAGAAAGAGTTATCCATTTTCAGAGTTTCAGGAACTGAACAAAAGGAGCCCATTAATAAAGTCAGGTCAGAGTCAGGTGATTTGAAGAGATTCTTGTTTTTTTAGACAGTGTCCCTGTTTTAACCTGACTGAAGGGTTACCAAAAAGTAAGTTTTCGGCACATTTTTAAAACAATCTCTTTTATGCATTACTGTATTTAATAACAGTAAATAGCCAACAGGAATAAAAGATTTGCATTACACAAAACTGGTTACTCATTAGATTTCATACTCAGCGTCCTGTTAACTCCAAATTCCCCTTGTGATTTATTTAACACCAAACATTATACTTCATCTTTAACCCAAATCCTGCTGTCCATTAGAGCTCTGAAAACTGCATTAAGTTTCACACGTGTGACACATCACAGCCGTTAATATTTATTGAAACTATTTAGTATTTTACAAAGGATTCTATTAATATTTTAGACATAAATTAAGTAACTTTGGCATAAAAATCATCATGTGTTAAACAAATTGTAGACAGTATGCTTTCTATACAGTTTACACGATTTTCAATTGTTTGAATCCTAAAAAATACGGTCCTCCTCAGTTATTGTTTTGAAAAGAAAATGTGGTTCTGGAAAATACACTGCATAGTAGAAGAGGGGGAAAGTGGTTTTTAAAAAAAGTTCAAAACAGGAACCAGTGCTCATCTCCTTTTAAGAGCTATTCAGATGAAAAATTACTCAGCATGAGCTTAAGCTATATGTTTTTCATGGTTATTAGTACTAATGAAGATGCATTAGCTATATTCTCTTGATAACGCACTAGCTGTTTTTTTAGTACTTTTATCAACATATAAATTTTACAACTGGCAATATGGGAATTTGACTAGTACATTCTTATATATAAAAAGGGGTAGCAACATTATAACTTCTTCATATCTATGAATTATGAATCTTGACTTGCAAACAAGCAAAACAAAAATGCAATAGAACTTCAGTGTCATGGTAGCTCTTCTTTCCACTGTCACAATAAATGCGCCTATACTCCTGAGTAGGACATCATACCAGAGGTGAATGCTTAATTAATCCAGAATTTATCAGTTCTTTTTTATTTCATTCTTTTTTTTCAATAAACATATATTGAGAGCCTTTTCTGTTGTCAACCTGTAGTAGTTATAAAAGCAGCTAAGAAGGTGAACGGTATATAATCATGTTGTATTCTTGTTTCCAATAAGAAACATTATTTTTAATAATTTTATAAAGACATTATCATTAAAGATAAAACAGTACAAAAGGAACCTTTTTGAAATTTTCACACTCCATTGAGTTATAAATGAAGATTTTTCTTTTGTGAAAATGAGTTCCAGATTTAAACTTGAATTGTCCTGACTCCAAAGCAGTTTAAGCTTTTAGTACTTTGCCCATAGCATTAGGTAGTGTCATTAGAGAAAACATTATAGAAGGAAGAAGCATAGTGTTCTTTTTTTTTTTTTTTCCTATGGAACTATGGGTCAGTTCTGTTTGAGAGAGTGATACTTAGTAATGTCAAAGATTTAGCTGTCATATAAAAAGTAGAATTACCATATAAGTGATGCCAGAGATCTGAGAGAAAAAAATGATAGTAAAATTTAAGTTGACTAAAACCAAATAGAATCTTGCATACTTTGGTGAAAAGAGCAAATTTCTATGAATGATTTAGGCAGTAAAAATATAAAGTTTGGTACTGTCATGGAATTGGTAATTATAATTGGTCTTCAAGATAATAATCCTTGAATATATTGCATGACTATGAAGGAAGTAATCATTCATTTAGCACATATTTGTTTTGTGCCCATTTGCCAGATGCATTTATAACATAAGTACTGGCAAAACATAGAAAAAGAAAAGAAAATGTAGGGCCGGGGTGAGTTGATAGCCACTGAGTGAGAGAGTCAAAGAAGAATAAATCTTTGGGTCTGCAGTGCAGAAATCACTAGATGACTGGTTGTAGGACAATTAACAAAGAGACCACAGCCACAGCTTCATGGTTCATAGGGAGCAAAAGTAACATGTGCAGATACTTTGAAAAAACATGAGTAGGCAAAGAAATGAAATGAGAATGACATAGGAATGAGGGACCAAAGGAGAAAAAGGTATGCTTCTATACACAGCCACTGTGGTTGTATGAAGATAGTAATGATACAGAAAAGAGGAAGAAAGTGATGATGTGGCAGAGAAGGCTGAAGAGCTGCAATCTCACAAGAAGAGAGGAGATGGGATTGAGACCACTAATGGAGAGACCAGTCAGAGTTAAGAGCAAGGACTTCTGTAACAAAGAGAAAGACTTAAATTACAGGTAGACGTAGCTGTTGTTTAACAAATATTTTAAAGTAGCTACGATGTGTTATGCAGTGGCAATGTAAACATACTAATAAGAGAGACAAATGAGTCTTTCCTCTCATGAAACATATATTTAAATGGAAATTGTAAGAGGTGGACAAATGCCAGATAATGAAAAATACTATCAAGAAAAATAAATGGGAGTGAGGAAGGAGGACAAGGAGTACTCTGGCAGGGACCTATCGTGGGTTACAGTTTTAGTGCACTAGGCAGTTGACATAACTTCCACAAATTTACTTCACAGTTCTCAGAAACATGCTTTCAAAATGAGGTTAAATCTGGCCAAACTCAGATGGGTCAAAGTCAAAATGGATCAGAGATCTAAATATTAAAACACTAAATCTACTGGAGGACAAGGTAGGTAGAAATCTTGGAGACTTCAGGGGTAGGCAAAGATTTCACAAACAAACCACAAATTGCATAGGAAGTACTTGAGAAAATCAACAACTGGGACCTCATCATACTAAAAAGTTTCTACACTTCAAAAGAAATCACCAACAGTGTGAAAAGAAAACCCACAGAATGGGAAAGAATTTTAGCCAGCAGGCCCTCAGACAAAAGCTTACATGCAGAACATACAAAGAACTGAAAAACATCAAGTCCCCCAAACTCAAGACCCTCTCCAAAAATTGGCATCTGAGATGAACACTCGTTTCTCAGATGAAGATGTACAAATGGCAAATGAATACGTGAAGAAATTTCACCATCACTGGTCATTCAAGAAATGCAAATTAAAATAGCATTGAGATTTCATTTCACTCCAAAAAAAATGGCTGCCATCAAGAATCAACCAATAACAAATGTTGGTGAGGCTGTGGGGAAAAAGGAACACTTCTCCGCTGTTGGTGGGCATGTAGACTGGCACAACCACTGTGGAAATCAATATGAAGTTTCCTCAAAAAACTAAGATTGGAAGTTCCATTCAATCCAGCTATTCCTCTCCTAGATATTTTCCCAGAGAAGTTGAAAAGGTCATGTCACAGCAATATATGTGCACCAATGTTTATAGCAGCACAATTTGTAATAGTAAATCTTGGAAACAACCCAAATGCCCATCAAACACAGAATGGATGAAAAAGGTGTGGTATTTATTTTTATACAATGGAATATTACTCAGCTATAAAAAAGGATTATCTTCAGGCATTCATAGGTAAATGGAGGCACTTATTTCTCGTAAGTGAAATAAATCAGACTGACGTTTATATCATATTGTCTCTACAATATAAAAATAATAATAAAAAACTGAAAGAGCAGTAAGATCCAAAAATGTACAATAGATATTATAATAATGAAAGGGAAAGAAAGTACTCTAAAGGATATAACTATACATATGTTTAAGCATGCAAGATAGATAACCATACTACTGAGTTTTTGTTAATTCATCAAATGGAATAATTTGTACTATCATTGTTTGATTGTCCACCCTTTATGCTTTGTTTTGGTACCTTGAAGAACTACTTCTAAAAGGACAATATGTAATTTATTAACTAGTGATTTCTTAGTGTTTTTGTTTTGAAATTCTGTATTATTTCCACCCTCTTTTCTGTTTTGTTTTTTTCTTTAAATACTATGCTTATGGGAATTCTATTCTCAGCCTCATTTCACAGGTGCCCCCTTCTCTGAACACCCCAGGATTTTCCAAGCCCTGTACCTCTCCTTTATTGTCCACATCATAGATTTTAAACATATATTTATGTGACTTTTGATTAATACATATTTTTCTCTATTGAACTATAAGTTCCAAGAAAGGAACTATGTCTTTTTGAGGCATCTTTGAACATAATATTGTACTGGCATATATTGTGCTTTATTTGTTGAAAGAACAAATGAGTGAATATAAAAGAATAAAATTGTTTTCATAGGTTTTGTTTTTAAGAATCTTGTTATTTTATTATTCTATGGATACTTTAAGTTTTCACTTCTTACTTTTATAACTGATCTAGTAAAAGGCCTTCTACAAAGCAAGAAAAGCTAAATTTATATACCAATAGAGTATATGAAATAATCTAATTTAAATAATGAATGTCCCCTTAACCTTTTTTTTTTTAAACAGGACCAATCCAAAAGGCACTCCCCTGAATATAAATAAAGTCTCTAATAGCCTGATTAATTTTGGAAGAAAGTTGATTTCCCCAGCAATGGCCCCAGGCAATGTGGGTAGCCCTGTACCTGAGGACAACGGTGGCTCTTCTGCTGTGATTCCCACAAAGTCCTCCACAGAAGCTCCAAGGTATCATCTGCAGCAGCAGCAGCAGCAGCAGCAGCAGAGGCTGATGAAATCTGAAAGCATGCCAGTGCAATTGAACAAAGGTAGGAAAAAAATACTAATAATCCAAAGAACACACAGCACAGCAAGGATTTCCTCATCTACCTATAAGAAACCAGTGTCCCCAAAATAAACATTAGAGCAAGAGTTGATTTTTAAAAATCTGTTGCACTTGATCTTTTTTAAGTTGGAATCTCAGATACTGTATTCTTCTTAAGAATATTTATGGGGCACTCTGTGAAGCCAGTTTTTAAAATGTTTATATTTTAGTATAACTTGCATTTTTGTCACGGGCATCCTGTATGTATGATTACAGTTTGCCTATGTTTTCTGCTAATTGTGTATAATAATGCTCCCAGGGGAATAATGCTGTCTTTCAGAAGAGTCTGAATTGAGAATGTATAATACCATTGGCTCTTTTTCATCATAGTATTTATCAAATCATTGCAGTGGTTTGGAGAAAGAATGCTATAAGATTTGTGGTCTCTCATCTAGCTGCTTTACCGCTAGGGAATACATACTAGACTCTTAAGGAAAAAGAAAAAAACTGACAAAATCTCAAGCAGCCAAAGTAAGTGTTTGAATTAATATGCTAAAAGTTAGCACCACAGAATTTAAGAGTAGGGGAAACGTGGGAGATCATCCACTCAAGTCTGTTATTTGATCAGTAAAGACACTGCTGCTTGTATGGCTTCTGGAAGTACTTCTGCTGCTGGCAGTCAAGGAAGTTCTTTGTTAGGTCAGAGCCTTACCAGTGCTTCACCTCACCAGGCACTTGCCTCATAAGACAGCCCCTCAGGGTCTTACCTAGGATGTTTTTTTACAGTACTCTTATTTTAAAAGAAGCTTAATGGATTAAGTCTTTCTATTCCTATCAGACTACAAACAACTACATTTATGTTTAATAATAGAAATCTGCTAGAAAGCAAGAAAACAAGAAACACTAACATGATGGAAGTAAATATACAAGGAGCAATTCTAAGGCCTCAGAAAGTAAAGAAGCCTGGGACCATTTAGTGTCAGAGCAGATCTCCTGATCCAAGCCTCTTTTATGTCATAAAGAATCCCTGTGTTACATCAGTGTTCTGTAATATTTTTAGTAAGAACACTTCAAGATCCATATACTCTGCTTAAGAAGCTTGTATCCAAATTTATTTAAAAATTTACACATTTACATTTAAACTTGTAAACAAATAGACTGTATTCCCCAATGAAACAAATTAACAAATATTCAGTAATGAGGATGTGTGTTTGCACATACCTGCATATGCATGTGTGCCTGTGTTTCTCCATTATTGACATGTATCTGTCCTTTCTATATTTCTTTATGTGAAATACTGAACTTTATATAATTGTATTTAAATTTTTATCAGAATATTCAGCTTATAGTACGTAAGACTATCTCATTTAAAAATTATTTTTCATGATTTAAAGAAAAGGAGGTTTCAGTTTATTAACAAATTGTAAACATAAATGCCAGGAGACATGCCCACTTCTAAAATGGAAACGAGTGTTATTTTATATATTTCTTAATTGTATTCTTTTATTGTTCTAAACAAATATGATTTCAATATTGCTTGGATAACAAGCTTTAGTCAGTTGTAATTCTAACTGATAGCAGGCAAATGAGCCAGAAGCTCTTAACGTTGCAGCTTAAATTTTCTGAGGAACAAAGCCAAATGACTATAGAAATATGAAGTTGTGTCTCTATGGAAATGTCAAATATTAATATCACAGTAAGTGAGAAAGGAAGAATACAGAGATGAATAGTTGATGAAAACTAAGTCCTCAGTTACAAGGAGACAACAAAGCTCTTAAGCAAAGTATGGGAACATGAGTATCACTAGGGCATATTATAACTGATCCCTTTCCTGAAAGAAATTGGCCTTGTTTTGCAACTCATATATTTTATTTCTGATACACTCTTCGTCAGTCTACTAAAACAGCTATTCTATATATCTTTATAGTAAAGATAAATATTCCTGCTAATGCTCCTCTCTATTTTATTCAAAGGCTTGAATAAAATAAAGGGCAAACAGTTTATATAAGTAAAAGAGTGTGTTTGGTGCTCTTCCTCCCTTCACCCATGTCTGAGTCCTGAGCAACAGCAGAAAATGTCTGCCTCCATTTCCTTACCAAAAATGAGACACTTGGACTGATTCCTACGGAGCCTCCCAGCTTAAAAAAAAAAAAAAAAAATCTGTGGTTCTTTTTGTGAAAAAATATATTTATGAACTTTAAAATGAAAAACATTCTCCAGCATTGGTTCTTTGTGCTAGTATTTCCCACATGTACACTGTGGTGCTAGTTTACTGACAGATCTGCAAACACTTCACCTGCAGCCGGTGAACACAGCAGCCTGTTCAGGTCATGTTGGCATATGATTTCTAACAATCCTCAACAGTCTCCACCTACTGGCTTTATGGAAATATATTAGCCTTTTTAGTGTACTCCGTTGGAATGTTTTGAAAAATGATTGGCAAGTGGAAAGTGTGGAAAGGTTTTTATAGGTTGTGATTATTTGTGCTTATAAAGAAGAGAGTTGTGTTTGTAACCCAAATTCATGTGTGTATTGGTTGAAATGCATTGTGTAGTTTATGTGTGTGTTGGGGCTGGCATAATGATGAAAACGAGCAACACAGCTGTTTCCCATAACTTTTTTAGTGACATTTATATTAAAATGAGTTTTAGTCTCTACGTATATGCTAGTAGATAACTTAGAATCTACATATATGTTAGTGGGTGACCTACTGTAAAATGGGTAGCGGGTATAGAATTTCCTGAAAGTATAAAGGAAGTGGCCCCACCATTTATCAGTGAATTTAGAGTTAACTGAATAATGAAAATTCAGAATTTGACCATTTTCCCAGGAAGCTGTTTATGACTTATTTGAAATATTACTACTTATAAATTTTCTTTCCTTTATAGGAGAATGCGAATGTATGTCTTGTTAATTGATGGGGACGTACCGATTTCCATTGAGTTGGCCATGCTTAAATCATAATTGTAGCAAATGGTCAGGACACCTAGGGCATGTTATTTAATTCAAAATTTGATTTTTTTTTACTACTGTATATATTGTATAATGCTGAAGGAGAAGTAATCTTTTGTGGAAAATATGATACCTTTGTAAAAGATTTGTTAATTTCAAAATAGGATAGGCCTTCAGATGCTATAGCCAGAAGGCAATTCTGTTGACAGTGACTAAGCTCAGTATTGAACTTTGTCATTCAGGAAGGAAATCAGAGAACCTTGCTAAAACACCTCAAGCTCCTCATGAGACTTCCTCCTGTGCTACTTTTCTTGTCTTTTCTGAGTTCTTAAAATGCTTTTTTTATTCCTGCTTGCTTTGTCTTTATTTTAAATTTTTAAAAATTTTATACTACTTTAAGCATTGACTAAAGATTCAATTTATAAATGAAATCCTAACTATAATAAGTATATCTAATTAAGGGGATGTAGTTCACAGCTTTATTTTTACATGTTAACACTTGTAAGTACATGTGGTAACTTTTGAAATCTTTTCATTGTCTAGTGTGAAACTAGAACTTATTTCAGGTCTTCACCACTGAAAAAGTTGCTTTCAGTTTACTTAAATATCAGTATGCCTAATACAAGAAGTTAATTTCAAATGAATGCCTGTTAATAAATGATAAATAACTTACTTTTGGGTTTAACATTTTTTTTTAAAAAATAAAATATATAAAATGACACCAATATTTGTAGCACTATGAAATCTCAGCAAAATTTTTTGATTGCTAAAGTAACCTATACTCTAATCTAGTAGATACGTGTTTACTTTTTCTGTGGAAAAAAACAAAATAAAATTCTTGGGAAATACCTTTGGAAACATTTCCTTTTAAAATATATTTTTCTAATCTTATGTTACATTTTCTTTATACTGTGCTTTTAGTAATTTTATAAAGGTATTAGGAGGTATTAGATTCAATATGAAAGAGAAGTTGGTTATTTCCTTCTTATAAAATCTCATCATTTTTTCTTATGAAATCCAGGAGATGTAGTTACAGGAAGTGATGCTCAGGTTTCTGCTCCTGCCCAGACTCTAACTGACCTCCAAGGTATAGTTACCATAGCAACATAGCCTATTTGCCGCCCCCTCATCTCTCTCACAGTCTGTGTCTCTCTGTGTCTGTCTCTCCCCCTTTCCCTTCCTCCACATTTCCCTACGGTGTTAAATTGCCAATTCTGCTTTTCCTATTGCCACACTCCCTTCAGTGTTTATCAGTCCACTACCATTGTTCAGCCACTGGGTGGCACTATGTGCCTTGGTAATAGGGGTTTTCTATTAACTGCACAAGCCTTTTTTTTTTTTTTTTTTTACAAAATATGATTTACCATGTATTTTATAGTTATTTAACATTATCCTTTGTAAGGGAGCTGACACCAAGGTGTCCTCTTTGTCGTGTAAGTTCTCTGTAACAGCATTTGACAAATTAGTTCTGAGATTTCACAATTTATATATTATGACTTATGTGAGGTACTTATATTTTACCTAAAGAATTACAGCTTGATTTTGACATGTTTTAAAGTAAAGCCTTTATATTACATTAACACAGTTAAAATATTATATGGCATGTCTCTTGTCAGAAACTCGCAATGTTTTAAACTAAAAAATAATTTCATATATAGCTTTTCCCAAAATGTAGAAAAACATAATGTAGCAAACACAAAATAGTGGTAATATTTTCAGCACTTGTAGCAAAATTTTTAAAAATACAGAAGTTTAAATTTGCTGCATTAATCTTTTAACATGCAATCTTTTAGATAAAACATGGCAGAGAGAAGATTTCTTGCTAAATGGAACCTTTGACTAACTTCCATTCAAATTCAGACTAAAATGATTACAGTCTATTAACTAAAACTTATATCATTTTCCTTGCTTTAAAATATCCACACAATATAGCCATGCTAGTAGTATTAAAATACTGATCATGGTATGCCCTCATACCGTGGGTTGTGATTAACAGATAAGTGATGGCGAAAGAACAGTGTGCTGTCACTTCTGTATTTAATTCTGTGATTCATAGGTAGTTTCTAGCTGTATTCTGGTAATTGAGCCGGATGAATTTTAAGGACTTCCTAGCTCAGGATTCCATGTTGAATTTTTCACTCTTCTTGGTGTCTCTTACAGGATCTATGTAACCCAGAATTGTAGTAGCATGAGCAATAGGAAAGACAGCTATCTCCATATCATTTATCTTTTCCTTTATCAGTTGGGTGAATCATGCAATATGAAGAAAATTCACAAGAGTTAATTTCTTCCCTGAAATTAAATTACGAGCCCCACAGACAACTTTTAAATGAGTTTGTTGTTAACCCAACTTGCATTTCTCTGCAAGATATAGACTGCAGAGCTAATTTATATGTATAGGAAAAGAAAATGGAGGGCTTGCTTTCTTATTCTGATTTCTGTGCTGTTGCTCTATTCATTTATTTTTTCCACAGGCCAGAGCCACATGAAAAATGTTACTTAAACTCTGAAGAGGGAGGTTATATCATTTCATTCAAATAATTTGTGTTATATAAGTAGAATTATCTCATACATTTTTTATTCAGCAAATATTTTTGAGAGTACATACCATGTTTTAAGCTCTGTTTCCATTGGTTGCTTGCTTTCCCTGCAGATTCATCAGCTTGCTTTAACATTACCTTTCCTTTAAATGACCAAGTTGTCATGGTTGATACATTGTGTTAACCTGAAAAGTTTAGAAGTTTCACTGAGAGACTGAGCAGGGAGCCAATATTGTAAATATCCTCATCCTGTGCAAGAGGAGGGCACAGATTTTGTGAATGCTACAGCTGCGGGGGTAGGTGGGGTACCATGTACAATATAAGGGAGGAGAAGCAGCTTATTCTCCTCTTTGACTCTGGCTGCTGCCTTGAAGTGTTGCCCCAACGCCATGCCATACTGCCTTGCAGCCAGCTGATTATGACTGAAACCTCCAAAAACTGTAAGCTAAATAAACTTCTCTTCCTTAATTTTGGGTGTGGGTATTTTGTGTCAGCAATCAGAAAAGTAATCAAGACAGATTCACTAACTTGCATGAACATTACCTTTGCTTTAGATGACCCAGTCAAATCTGCATAGGAACCACTTCTTTTTCCGGAATTCTGCTCAGAATGCCTTTATTTCCAATATTCTGACAAGGATTCTATTAGTCTGACATGGAAAGTTCCAGCTATTTTGAGATATAAGTCCCAAATAAACAGTTTTCATTCTGTGGTGATAACTGACAATGGGATAATGAGATACCTACCCTGATTTGTCCCTTTTGTGTTTTCCTCAATGTATTTCCTAAAGCGTACAGAAAGCAAGTAAAAGTAATCCAAAATGTTGACAACAAAACATTTTCTAACTCTGTGTGCTGAATAGGATCAATTATATGAAAAGTTGGAGAATTTTATCAGACATGCCAAACCAATTACAGTCCACTATTTTGAGGAAATTATTATTTAAACTTGTTCAAGTGCTTATTTCAAAGTAATAAGATAAGTGAAATAAATATTAATAATTTCATAGTCCTTTGATTATATTTTTTTTCCAGTGCTTGGACCTCACACACACTAGGCAAGTGCTTTATCACTGAGCTCCACCCTAACCCAGTTCTTTGTTAATGAGCTTTTATATCTGTACCTTTTTTTTTTTTTAATGGAACCAGGGATCGAACTCACAACCTTGCACTTGCCAAGTGGCACTTACGCCACTAAGCTAAATGCCCAGCCCTGTATCTCTATTTTTTTAATGAACTTTTATGTCTCTATCTTTGTTGTTTAACATACCATGAGAATATGAAAATGAAAATAGTTCTATGGATTTTAATTTTTTCAAGGGAAAAAACCTGAATATAAAGTGTGATTTCACAATTTAGGTCAATAAGTAATTTTTTGAAAAGTATTATAAAGTTCTATTTTATATCTCTAGAATAGGTTGCAATGATCAAAAAAAAGTACTACAGCAGATTTTGAATTTTGAAGATTCAACTTCTTAGGTTTCTTTAAAATTAGTTTGTAGGGGCTGGGGATTTAGCTCAGCTGCATAAGCACCTGCCCTGCAAGCAGGCGATCATGAGTTCAATCCCCGGTACTGATTAAAAAGAAAAAGAAAGTGTAAAAAAAAATAAAATTAGTTTTTGTCAGGCATGGTGGTATACATCTCTAATCCTAGCACTTGGAAGGTTGAGGCAGGAGGATTGCCCTGAGTTCGAGGTCAGCCTAGGCTATATAGTAAGTTTAAGTCCTGCCTGAAATACATAACAAGACCTTGTCTCAAAAACAAAATTACTTTGTATTTCTTAAGTACTTACTATGACCATCTTTAAAATATATGGTTTTGCATATATGTATGTGGTATGTATAAAATCACATTCCACTTTATACTTTCATTTATTATTGCAGCCATAGTCCATCTTTTATTCCTTACAAAACTGGATCAAACAACCCTTCAGGATTTAACTCAAAATCTGATAAAATCGCATTCCTCCCCTACTATAAGATCAGAGATATCATAGTATTCATATTCACAGTGTTAACCTTCCTATCTTTAGTCCTGTTCTGATCCAACCTCCTTGGTGACCCAGATAACTACATAGCATCCAGCCCCCTAAAAACACCCCCACATATTAAACCGGAAATATACTTCCTCTTGATGTACATAATCCTCTCCATTCCCAGTAAACTCAGAGTTTTAGCCCTTCTACTGTCAACTCTAACTGTAGCCTTATTGCCAGTTTTACAACTATCAAAGCAACATAGCATATTATTTTGCCCCCCTCCAGCCAATGTCTTCTATAAATTCTAGTAGCAAACCTATTTATCTTTACATGAATTGGAGGCCAACCAGTTGGATATCCCTATCTTTCCATCAGACAACTCCCATCAATTATTTATTTCTCTATCATCTTAATTCTTTCTCCACTAGTAAATATGATAGAAAATAAAATCCTAAAATGAAGAGTCCTAACAATATAACCAACTACTTTGGTTTTATAAACCAAAAATGGAAATAATTTTCCATAGTGTATAACAATTCAAGGAAGAAGCAAGCAGCTACAATAGCAATACCCAAAGCTGAAATTCTTATTAAACTATTCCTTGGAATCAATGAAACACTTACTTATATGTTACCTTTACATTTATGTACATTGTGCATTAATGTATCTCTCCATTCACAAATGTATTAGTACATTCATGTACAAGACATAACTCTATATTTAATCAACATTGAATTCTTAGCCTCATGTATATTGAACAAGTACAAACAGTTCATACATACATGCACCATTCACTTCTCTAATCCAACGTAAGTCCTTAACAACATGACTATTAATTACCTAATGTTATGATTCTACTTCATCTAATACATCCAGTCCATCATTAGACAATAGTTCATTAAGTCTAATCAGTCCTTGTCAATATGCCTTTCCACAACCCATGTTTGACCTCTTAAATCTACCATCCTCTGTGAAATTATCAACCTGCTAAGCAGGGATCTCTCTGCTCACCTCAGACCCATAACGTGGGGGTTTCTATTAAAAGACACTTGGATCTTACTTCAGGGCCAAGCCTAAGATTGCCCACTCGTTCTTCTTAAATAAGATATCTTGATGGGCTAATATCTAATCAGCGCATGACCAACATAACTATGGTTTCATGCATTTGGTATCTTTTTAATTTCGAGGATGCTAGTGATTCACCATAGCTGTCAAGGCATGGTCTTAGTCAATTCAGTTGTAGTTGGATTTGTAAAGAAGGATTCTTGCTATGGACGATAGTTGTTTCTGTGGGAATTCTTTTAATGCTTGAAGAACATAACCTGAACATATACATATGTACGTATGTGTACAGGCGATTTTTAATATCAGATATCTATTAACAAACTTCCTTACCCCCATTGAAATATTAATCTGTCACATAAGTTAAACACTTGTATAATGTATATTCTAATCTTGTCAAACCCCAAAAACCAGAATTATATATATTCAAAATAAGTCAGCATAATTAGCCCAAAACTTCCCATATTCATAGTGTCTAGAGAAACCTTTTACCCTCATGTTAGTTC